GGATTAAAATTTTCTTGTATAAATTTAAAATTTTATCGAAGATGGCTTTTATAGTGATTTATAAGTAAGTATTTTAAAAATTACAAATTCGAATTTGTTTAAAATTTACTTATAAATCATAAATCATTTAAAAGTTAAATTGAAATTTCCTCTCTGATAAATTTTTAAATTAAAAAAAATTAACTTAATTTTAAGTGCTGCCAAACATGCCCTAAACCGTTTACAAAAAACCAAAAAAACATGCCCTAAACTATTAAAACGAAAAAGACTAAAATTGACTTGGAGTTGGGGTCAATGCTGCCGGTGGCTTTGGCAAATAAAATACAATACAGTACAAAGAGTATGATGATGATTGCCACTTAGGTGCATTTTGATTGAATGATTAAAGCAGAAAGATTCCAATATATACTGATTTGGATTCTGAAGTCAAGTTCAGTATTTGAAAACTAAAAATTAGAAGGCGCAAAGGAAAGAAGGAGGTTGTTTCTCGTAAGTTTCCATTTTCACATACTCTCTAAGAGCTACTTGGAATTAATGTATTTATAATGTAACATGACAACATAAATTTATAATTATAATTTGTTAGTATATATGTATTTATTTATTTCAAATTATATTATAATACTATATGTATTCATTTATTTAATAACATATCATGATTACTTATAATTTTGTGTGTTAGTATAATAAATATATCATATGAATTATTTAACAATTACTTTAGCCAAACAAAAATTGCTAAATTTAAAGTAATTTTGATAATGATAAATTTTCTAAAAGTATTTAATAAATTTAAATATAAGTATGCGATTAAAAACTAAAAAATATGCCAAAATGAATTCTAGAAAATTGCAGAGAGTTGCTGAAGAATCAAATATAGATTTTTATATTCGAATCTCAAAGAAAAAAATGATGAATATTCAACCCCACCAATGTACACTCTCTAAGAAAATGAATTAATTAAGAAGTTGGGAAAACTAAAAGATTCGAGTCCCTATTATCATATTTGAATCTTGGGCTTCAAATATTCAATTCGTGGCACGGGAAGATTCGATTCTTAGAAGCAGAAAAGTTCAAGATTTATGAAGGGTAAGGCAAAATTAAATTTTCATTTATAAATCCGGCTCTTCAAGATAAATGTTTGATATTTAGTGTAATGAAATGTGTAACTTTACAAAATGTATTAATTATTTTTTTTTATATATTATTTTTGGTCTATACAAGGAAAATTGTTCTCATTTTATTTAGGATTTTTTAAATTTATACCTTTACGATAGAAGTTAAAAATATTTTTTTATTATATATATAAAATTATAAAAATTGATATTAATTTTAGTATCAATATCAAGTAATGTCAAAGTAGGTGAATTTAATTGAACAATTAATAAATTAAATATTTATTTTTATTTTTTTAATACAAATTTATGATAAAAATATATATTTAATATACCCTTAAGAGCATAGGTTAGATAAACTTTTTTATTTATATTTGGTAGTTGCAAAAAAAAAAATTTACAACTCCGATTTACCTCCTATATTGGGGTGCATTGGATCAACAAGAATAATATATTTTCAATGTCACATAGCATTAATCTTATAATTATAATGTATCATTATATGATAAATTATTTTAATTAAAAGGTTTACATATGATATGATTTGTATTTATTCATTTAATAATATATTATGACAGTAAACAATCTTATTTGACATTATAATCATTGCATTATCAATTTAACATAACCAAAATATATAAAGTCAATTAAGCCCTGATCTAATTTTGAAACCTTCACCATAAAATATATTAATTGTGGGTAGTTAACGGCCGAGTTGTTTACTACTACGTACGAATGAATCCAACTTTGAAATGGCAAGTTAATCCTTTGCATATCTTCTGTTATACTGTCTCTAAGAGTAGAAATATATTTTTCTCCTGACTTACAAAAAAATCAGTCCGAACTGAAGTTGATGAAAATAATGCACGCACTTTTATATATTTGTCGCATCTAAGATCCTCAATTAACCATACCTCCTTTTTCTAGCATAAAGTAACGTCAAATAATTAACATTATATATTAATCATGTTATTTTAATAAAGTACTTTATTTTTTAATAATTATTATGAGACTGAATTGAACCGTTACTTCAAAAAAAAAAAAAAAGGTTGAGTCTTTACAAAAGTGATAGATGTCATTCGTGCCTATTATGAGCCAGATTATAATAAAGTACATTATATAAAAACAAAAACAGAAATTTATAAAAGGTAAGTTATGCGACAAAATAATCGTGCTCTTAAATCAAATCACTCATTTTAAAAATTTAAAAATTTATAAAAAATTATTTTTTTATAGACTTTCTTTAATAATTGAACTTTATTATATAAAATATGAAATCAACCATATTACCAATTAAGCTACCATTTCTCAAGCTTCTTATCCCTGTTGATTGTTGAAAGTTGGCCTATGAGTTAGGCCAGTGACGGGCCTGGCCCAGATGGCATGCCGACCCAAGTAGCGTCATTCAATTCCATTGTAAAAGTTACAATAATTATTTTCACTAGGTTTTCTAGGTGCAATTCATATATATATATAATTTATATTTTTTTTATATAAAATATTAAAAATTTATTTCTTTAATTTTTAATAATTGAAATTTATTATGATTTTTTAAATGAAAAAATAAATATATTTAATAAATATAAATAAATCTCAATAATTAAAAATAAAAAAATAAATAGTTAAAATTTTATATAAATATAATGTGTAAAATTTATGTGTAAATGAACCCTTACTATATATTATAATAATTAATATTTTTAAAAAAAGACATTTAGTTAATTAACCATTGAAAATTAAAATAATCTATATCACTTAGGTGGTGAAATTTAAATCCTCTTTTATATTTTTCAATGCAAATTAATATAAAAAAATATATTAATTATACTCCTCATCTGTGCACATGGGTTAGAAAAACTCAGTCATTTTTGAATTCTTTTAACCTATGGTTAGAGAGAAATTAATGTGGTATTTTAACTCTCCTAAAATGGTATCTATGGTATTTTAAACCTTTTAAAAAGTGTCATTGTTCTTTTAAAATAAGTCATTTATATTTTCTATACAAATTAATTACAAAAAATGCAACAAATGTACTCTTAACTTATACTCTAAGATACATGATAAAAAACCCTTTTTAACATATGTCGTAAGACTTAAGAGTACAATAATTATACATTTTTTCATTAATTTATATGAATAAACACCAAAAAAAGACTAACTTTATTTTTCAAGACCAATAATATGTCGATGATTTTTATTAGATAATTGATACAATTTAAGTCAAATTTCGTTTTATAAAAAATAATTAATAAAAAATATACAATTAATATATTTTTAATATGTATCTTTGTAGTGCAAATTAGAAAAACCCTTAGATAAAACTGTTGTCATAAGGCATAGCCGCATAGGGCTTGACTATACTTCTAAAATGTGGCATTCACAGAGTGGAGGGTGTGGACCTTAGAGAATTAAGTATTTTTATTATTTTTAAAAAGTCATTGTTTTTCTATCAATCAAACATTAGTACATGACCTCTTTGTTTTAAAGACCACACTTTATTAATTTACTTTAGTATTTGGCCCCTATTTATCTCCTTTCTCCCCTTTTTGGTTTTTGCTAAAGAAAATCAAAAAATCAATTGAGAAAAACAAATGCAAATTCTGCTTTCCTCAACTTCTTCCCCCCCCCTGTTATTGAAGAATTTGATTGAGGCAATAATGGTCGATCAAAAACACTAAAAAAAAAGTTACAAATTTGGTGTGGTCTAATGCGTCAATAACCCCACCCTCATATCAGACTTTACAGTATATACTCAAATCTATATTTATAGTTGAAAGGGATCTACAAAGACATTTTGTTGCAAAAAAAAAAAAAAAACAAAAGAGTCTAGAAATGGCATTCCAAGAAAGGACATCATGCGCAAATGGGCTACGTGGGCCGATTAGGCAGTGTTCATAAACATTCAATTCTAGGCAGCTGTCGAGGCTACAGGCCTACAGCAGCATCTAAAGAGGAGTTGAGTTTAAACTGTTAGAAGGCCAGTTCAGCTTCGGCTTAGTTATAAAATATATAAGATTTCATAAATATATAAAATATATTTAATATATTTAATAATTATTTTAATTAATATTTTATATATTTTTAAAATAATAAAAAACATGAAAATTAAAAAAAAAAAATATATATATATATATATTAAGGTTTTAATAAATATGGATGTGTATGATTTTTAGTTTTTATAAATTTTATAATTATTGAAAATTAAAATTAAAAATTCAAA